GAGATGATCATGGACCAGAGTTTACACATGGTAAGACCAGACGTACATGTAGGAGATGATCATGGACCAGAGTTTACACATGGTAAGACCAGATGTACATGTAGGAGATGATCATGGACCAGAGTTTACACATGGTAAGACCAGACGTACATGTAGGAGATGATCATGGACCAGAGTTTACACATGGTAAGACCAGGCGTACATGTAGGAGATGATCATGGACCAGAGTTTACACATGGTAAGACCAGAGTACATGTAGGAGATGATCATGGACCAGAGTTTACACATGGTAAGACCAGACGTACATGTAGGAGATGATCATGGACCAGAGTTTACACATGGTAAGACCAGACGTACATGTAGGAAATGATCATGGACCAGAGTTTACACATGGTAAGACCAGGCGTACATGTAGGAAATGATCATGGACCAGAGTTTACACATGGTAAGACCAGACGTACATGTAGGAGATGATCATGGACCAGAGTTTACACATGGTAAGACCAGACGTACATGTAGGAAATGATCATGGACCAGAGTTTACACATGGTAAGACCAGATGTACATGTAGGAAATGATCATGGACCAGAGTTTACACATGGTAAGACCAGACGTACATGTAGGAAATGATCATGGACCAGAGTTTACACATGGTAAGACCAGACGTACATGTAGGAAATGATCATGGACCAGAGTTTACACATGGTAAGACCAGACGTACATGTAGGAGATGATCATGGACCAGAGTTTACACATGGTAAGACCAGACGTACATGTAGGAAATGATCATGGACCAGAGTTTACACATGGTAAGACCAGACGTACATGTAGGAGATGATCATGGACCAGAGTTTACACATGGTAAGACCAGACGTACATGTAGGAGATGATCATGGACCAGAGTTTACACATGGTAAGACCAGACGTACATGTAGGAGATGATCATGGACCAGAGTTTACACATGGTAAGACCAGACGTACATGTAGGAAATGATCATGGACCAGAGTTTACACATGGTAAGACCAGACGTACATGTAGGAGATGATCATGGACCAGAGTTTACACATGGTAAGACCAGACGTACATGTAGGAGATGATCATGGACCAGAGTTTACACATGGTAAGACCAGATGTACATGTAGGAGATGATCATGGACCAGAGTTTACACATGGTAAGACCAGACGTACATGTAGGAGATGATCATGGACCAGAGTTTACACATGGTAAGACCAGACGTACATGTAGGAGATGATCATGGACCAGAGTTTACACATGGTAAGACCAGACGTACATGTAGGAATGATCATGACCAGAGTTATTTACACATGGTAAGACCAGACGTACATGTAGGAGATGATCATGGACCAGAGTTTACACATGGTAAGACCAGACGTACATGTAGGAAATGATCATGGACCAGAGTTTACACATGGTAAGACCAGACGTACATGTAGGAAATGATCATGGACCAGAGTTTACACATGGTAAGACCAGACGTACATGTAGGAAATGACCATGGACCAGAGTTTACACATGGTAAGACCAGACGTACATGTAGGAAATGATCATGGACCAGAGTTTACACATGGTAAGACCAGACGTACATGTAGGAGATGATCATGGACCAGAGTTTACACATGGTAAGACCAGACGTACATGTAGGAAATGATCATGGACCAGAGTTTACACATGGTAAGACCAGACGTACATGTAGGAGATGATCATGGACCAGAGTTTACACATGGTAAGACCAGACGTACATGTAGGAGATGATCATGGACCAGAGTTTACACATGGTAAGACCAGACGTACATGTAGGAGATGATCATGGACCAGAGTTTACACATGGTAAGACCAGACGTACATGTAGGAGATGATCATGGACCAGAGTTTACACATGGTAAGACCAGACGTACATGTAGGAGATGATCATGGACCAGAGTTTACACATGGTAAGACCAGACGTACATGTAGGAAATGATCATGGACCAGAGTTTACACATGGTAAGACCAGACGTACATGTAGGAGATGATCATGGACCAGAGTTTACACATGGTAAGACCAGACGTACATGTAGGAAATGATCATGGACCAGAGTTTACACATGGTAAGACCAGACGTACATGTAGGAGATGATCATGGACCAGAGTTTACACATGGTAAGACCAGACGTACATGTAGGAAATGATCATGGACCAGAGTTTACACATGGTAAGACCAGACGTACATGTAGGAGATGATCATGGACCAGAGTTTACACATGGTAAGACCAGACGTACATGTAGGAGATGATCATGGACCAGAGTTTACACATGGTAAGACCAGACGTACATGTAGGAGATGATCATGGACCAGAGTTTACACATGGTAAGACCAGACGTACATGTAGGAGATGATCACATGGACCAGAGTTTACACATGGTAAGACCAGACGTACATGTAGGAGATGATCATGGACCAGAGTTTACACATGGTAAGACCAGACGTACATGTAGGAAATGATCATGGACCAGAGTTTACACATGGTAAGACCAGACGTACATGTAGGAAATGATCATGGACCAGAGTTTACACATGGTAAGACCAGACGTACATGTAGGAGATGATCATGGACCAGAGTTTACACATGGTAAGACCAGACGTACATGTAGGAAATGATCATGGACCAGAGTTTACACATGGTAAGACCAGACGTACATGTAGGAGATGATCATGGACCAGAGTTTACACATGGTAAGACCAGACGTACATGTAGGAGATGATCATGGACCAGAGTTTACACATGGTAAGACCAGACGTACATGTAGGAAATGATCATGGACCAGAGTTTACACATGGTAAGACCAGACGTACATGTAGGAAATGACCATGGACCAGAGTTTACACATGGTAAGACCAGACGTACATGTAGGAGATGACCATGGACCAGAGTTTACACATGGTAAGACCAGACGTACATGTAGAAGATGACCATGGACCAGAGTTTACACATGGTAAGACCAGACGTACATGTAGGAGATGACCATGGACCAGAGTTTACACATGGTAAGACCAGACGTACATGTAGGAGATGATCATGGACCAGAGTTTACACATGGTAAGACCAGACGTACATGTAGGAGATGACCATGGACC